TAAATATAATGTCTGTTTCTCAATAGGGAAATTTCATTGTAAATGTCAGTGGAAGATGTCATGTGTGTAGCTGACAAACAGCAACACTGGCGACAATAAATAGTATCTAGCTCTTATTTAGGGCTTTACATTAGTGAATCTCAATTCATTTCACAAGGAGGAAAGGATTATTAAAGACTATTTCAAGTACACAACTGAGTAGCTTTCAGTGAATTTTCCCTTGTGTTGTTTCTGTGGCGAAGGGATTTTTGCTTTGGGTTTTTTTTCCCTCCTGAGAGATCTGTGACCTGTGTCCTACAGATGCAGTATGTGTTCAGCATGGTGCGATTTGTTCACCAGCTTACGTGTCTTTCTTGCCTTCTGGAAATCATGTATTTGATAATAGCAGAGCTTATATGTGCTGTTGTAGAGCGGTTTGAACCAACTTCTTTTTCCCCTGCAGATGAAAGTGGCATGCGGAAGGAGCACTATACACTGAGGGATTTAGTGTCAGGCAATCACTTCTCTAGAGGATTAAAAGAAGCCTTCAAAAAGGCATCCTTCTTCCTTTTACTTACAAGATTCACAACCCAAACTGCTGGTTCTGTTCATGGGATTTTTTTTACAAAAAGCCTTAAAATATGGCTTCTTATGTTTATTTACTTGGATTCTTCTCTTTAATTTGCTATAGTTTTAACTCCTCCACCAACTAGATGATCAACTGACAAAGAAATGTTGTTCTGAAATGGAGCCCAGGTAGAGCTATCAAACTGGATGGTAACATGAGCTAGAGTCCGTGTCTGTAGAGCAGAGGAAGAAAACTACCTTGCACAATGCCTGTCTGCTTTTTCAAATTCTGTTACTATTTTAAAAATCTATGCCCCACACGTCAGCCACCTCTTGTTAAAAACAAGGCCTCTGACCAAGCATCATCACTGAATAAGAATTACAGTAGTGTTATCCAAAAGCTCACAGACTGGGAACTCCTCAAAACCTGCCATGAGAGGAATTTTTTTTCTTCAGTTGTCGTAGAGTTAATATATGCAGCTTCTCAGGCATGAGGGGACAAGGGGGAAGAAATAGGTTGTGAACATTATTGTTAATCCAGATGCTTAGAAATGAGCAGTCATGTTTTCCCAAATTATACAATTGATTCAAAAACAATAATGTATTTTTAAAATTATGCCTTTGGGGTTTGTGCCTTCCAGATAAAATGCTAATCTCATTTTTATGTTTTTCTCAGCTACCCCAAGAATTATAAAACTACTATTTAAAAAAATACCAACAATTCCTAAATACATTTCTTCCTCCTTGTTTCTTGAGTTTTCATTGAAACATCTAGCATTACCAGAACAGGAACATTTAGTAGCAATATTACTCATGTAAATTGAATTCCTCTGCTGCTGCTAAAATGTTGGAGTACTCTGGCAATGTAGCACCATGAGGGATGACAGTGTGAATAATAGTAGCAGGTAAGTTTATTAAATGCCTCTAAAAACAGGACTACAGGGTGTTCAGTACAAAGGCAGAGATGAATGTAATGGTTTAAAAATTGCGTTGCCCGTGCAAATTTCAAAACAAAAACTTGATTTTTTTTTTCCCTCAAAACTGTGCCAGCCTCTTCAGGTGAGGTAGGATTCCACTCTGAAATTTCAGTATGAGCAACAAACGGGGAGCTTGAAGACATGATGCAGCACGAGAACTATGACATAGCAGCTGTCACAGAAATATGGTGGGATGCCTCACACGACTGGAGTGCTGCAGTCGATGGCTACAAGCTCTTCATGAGGGACAGGCAGGGAAGGAGAGGTGGTGGAGTGGCCCTGTATGTAAGAGAATGCTATTACAGCTCAGAAATCAAGCACAGTGATAATGGGGTTGAGAGTGTTTGGATTAGGTTAAGGGCCAGTAAAGCAGATCTTTCTGTGGGCATCTGCTATAGACCCCCAACCAAAGCAGTGAGGTGGATGAAGGCTTCTGTAAAGAGTTGGGAGAAATCTCGTGGTCACTTGCCGTTGTTCTTGTGGTGGACTTTAACCTCCCGAGTATCTGCTGGGATCACAACACAGCAGAGAGGGAACAATTCAGGAGGTTCCTGGAACGTGTGGAGGATAACTTCCTCACACAGCTGGTGAGCGAGCTGACCAGGGAAGGTGCCCTCCTGGACCTGCTGATTGTGAACAGGGAAGGGCTTGTGGGGGGAGGTAAAGGTTGGAGGCAATCTAGGGTGCAGTGATCATGAGATGATTGAGTTTTCGATCCTTGGACAAACAAAGAATGGGGTTAGTAAAACTGCCACCTTAGACTTCCAGAGGGCTAACCTTGACCTGTTCAAAAGACTGATTAACAGAATCCCTTGGGAGGCTGCCCTGAAGGATATGGGAGTCCAGGAAGGCTGGACATACTTCAAGAGAGAAGTCTAGAGGGCACAGGAGCAGGCTGTTTCTGCATGCTGAAAAACAAGCAAGTGGGGAAGGAGACCAGCCTGGCTAAACAGGGACCTTTGGCTGGACCTCAAGAACAAAAGGAGAATCTATGACCTTTGGAAGAGGGGCCAGGTCTCTCATGAAGACTGTAAAGATGTAGTGAAGTTATGCAGGGGGAACATTAGGAGTGCCAAAGCACAGCTAGAGCTCAACTTGGCTGCAGCTGTTAAGGATAATAAAAAATGTTTCTATAAATTCTTTAGCAGCAAAAGGAGGATTAGGGAAAATCTCCCTCCTTTACTGGATGCAGAGGGAAACATGGTAACTAAGAATGAGGAAAAGGCTGAGGTGCTCAACGCCTATTTTGACTCAGTCTTTAGCAGTGGAACTGGCTGTTCCCTGGACACCAGCCTCGTGAGCTGGGAGATGGGAAGGGGAAGCAGAATGAGATCAGCACAGTTGAAGAGGAGGTGGTCAGAGACCTGCTACACCACTTGGATGCACACAAATCTGTGGGACCAGATAGGTTACACCCAAGGGTGCTGAAAGAGTTGGAGGTGGCAAATGTGACACCCATCTACAAGAGGCAGAAAAGATGATCCAGGAAACTATAGACCTGTCAGTCTGACCTCAGTGCCAGGGAAGGTCATGGAGCAGGTCATCTCGGGTGCCATTAAAAGTCATATAATGGACAGCCAGGGTATCAGGCCCAATCAGCATGGGTTTATGAAAGGCAGGTCCTGCCTGACAAACCTGATCTCCTTCTATGACAATATGACCCAACTATTGGATGAGGGAAAAGCTGTGGGTATTTTCTACCTGGATTTTTGAAAAGCATTTGACACAGTTACCCATGGAATTCTCATAAAAAAACTGGCTGCCCATGGCCTGAATGAGCGAATGGTCTGCTGGCTCAAGCACTGGATGGATGGACGGTCCCAGAGAGTGGTGGTCAGTGGAACTAAATCCAGCTGGTGGCCAGTCACAAGTGGTGTTCCTCAGGGCTCGGTGTTGGGACCATTTCTGTTTAACATCTTTATTGATAATCTTGATAAGGACATAGAGTGTATCATCAGTAAGTCTGCAGATGACACCGAGTTAAGCGGGAGTGTCAATCTGCATGAAGATAGGGAGGCTCTACACAGAGACTTGGATAGATTGGATCGGTGGGCCAATGTTAACAGGATGAGCTTCAACAAGGCCAAGTGCCAGGTCCTACACTTGGGCCACAACAACCCCATGCATGGCTACAGGCTTGGGGAGGTGTGGCTGGAGCTCTCTGGAAGAGAAGGATCTGGGGTTTCTAATTGACAAGCAGCTGAACATGAGCCAGCAGTGTGTCCAGGTGGCCAAGAAAGCCAGTGGCATCCTGGCTTGTATTAGAAATAGTGTGACCAGTGGAAGTAGGGAGGTGATAGTCCCCCTGTACTCTGCACTGGTGAGGCCACGCCTGGAGTATTGTGTCCAGTTTGGGGCACCTCAATACGAGGTGCTGGAGCGAGTGCAGAGGAGGGCAACGAAGCTGGTGAAGGGCCTGGAGAATAAATCTTATGAGGAGAGATTGAAGGAGCTGGGACTATTTAGTTTGAGGAAGAGAAGGCTGAGGGGAGACCTCATCACTCTCTACAGCTACCTGAAAGGACATTGTAGAGAGGTTGGTACTGGTCCCTTCTCACAGGTGATTAGTGACAGAACAAGGGGGAACAGCTTTAAACTGCAACATGGAAGGTTTAGACTGCACATTAGGAAAATTTTTTTCACAGAAAGAGTGGCCAGACTGGCCAGTGGAATAGGCTGCCCAGGGCAGTGGTGGAGTCACCATCCCTGGATGTGTTTAAAGGTCGTTTGGATGAGATGCTGGGGGATATGGTGTAGGGGAGAACTTTGTAGAGTAGGGCTGATGGTTGGACTCGATGATCCCGAGGGTGTTTTCCAACCTGAATGATTCTGTGATTCTATGTGCTTTCTGTGCACGTAAAACCATTTTTGGTCATAGCAGTAACCCACCACACTTTAGTCAAGAAATAATCCTCTATTTTTTATAATCCTATTGTTGATCACCCAAATTGCTCATGATGATACATCATGATGAACAGAAACCAAAACTCTGAGAAGGGAGTAAAGTAAGTGTGCTTTGCTCTGTCACTGGTATTCCCTGAGACTATCATGTTTGCCTCCTGGCTGGCAGGCGAAGATTAAAACCTTGATTGTTGGAAGGCATGGCTATGCTGGCATATCCCAACAAGACTGAAATTTCCCTCAGTTTGGGCTCGGACAGTTTTGATTTCAGAGTAGAATCCAGTACGATTTTCAGATGGGAGAGGTGATGTTATAGAGGAGGGAAATCAGGGGAGCTCTGCTATTTGAGCTACAGGTCACCTCTAACTACTGTGTTCATATCAGAAAATTAGAAAGTCTGCATAAATATTAATAAGAATGAAGTAGAATTTTTTGTGTTCACTGTACAATTTAAGGTCTTGCTTCCAAATTATATGCTGTTCCTAGTTTCCAAACTTTGCATTAAGTGATGTAGAAATAGACTATGTCAGCCCGTGTGTATTTTACTTACTGTGTTGCTTTGTCTTCCCTTTCCAGCACTTACAGAACCCTGCAAACTTCCATAATGCAGCAACAGAGCTCCTGGACTGGTGTGGAGACCCCAGAGCCTTCCAGAGACCATTTGAGCAGAGCCTGATGGGTTGTTTGACGGTATGTCCACTCCCTCTGTGGTGATGGTTCCTATCCTCTGTTTTATATATGTCATTTTATCTTAGACACGTGAAGCCAGATCCTGTTTGACTCCATTACTTAACAGGAAGCAAAATGCAGTAATGAGAAGTTAAATCATAAAAGGGGAAAACATTTATATTTAGGTTACTTACAAATATACAGGCTGGGTTACTTGAAATGCATATACAATATTTATTTTCACGGTTTGAAATTGCTAAACAAGCTGTGTTCTTATGCAGTTGGCAGACTTTTCAAGAATTTATTTTCCTTTGCTCATTTTTGTGGGAACTGGAGGTCTACTTGTCTTCTATCCTAAGCATGCTGCTTTACTTTCAGCTGAACAGTGTCTCTGACATGCCTGTTCAGCTTACAGATACTGACTGAGGTCTAATCCTGACATACTAATTCCAACAGTTTTATCACCTTCAGTGTTTTTCTTTCCATCCACTCTTTATTAAGACCACTGTAGTTTCTATACTTCACTATAATGCGTTGAAAATATTTTTTAGTGTGTACACAACAGGATATTTTGTTTTGAAAGTTTTATGTCCCATGCACCCAGGAGGAGGATCCAGTCCAAAATTGTTACATGGATTCAAGACATTAGAAAATTTGAATTCTGACTGGAGTAGGAGTGCTCAAAAGCTTCATTGCAATTTGAAGAACAAACTTGATATAAATAAATAGTCACAAAGGAGATAGAAATTTAAAAATTATTAATGAAGAGACCATCGTTGTATTTTGGGGGGGGTCAGAAGCGCATGGATTATTTTCATGCACTGTGTAGCTGATGTATATAAAACAGGCACTGAAACTGAGATTTAGTTGCCAGAAATCCAAATGTTAAAGAATGGCTCCATCTTAATGTGCTCAAATGTATAGCATCCCTCAGATTTCTATGTCAAAAAGTTAGAATAAATCCAGTGGTATAAGGAGGTATGTATCATTCTCCCAATCAGAAAAAAAAGTCCTGAGATACTATATTTAACAATTCCATTTGAAGTACAAGTTCTATATAACCTCAGTGATGAGAAAATGTACATAGGATCTTACGTGATCATAAATATATTTTATTTATACTTTTTAAAATACTATAATAACATTTGCAAGTTAGCATTTGGGAAAGGAGACATTCAGCTCAAGGATACTTAGGCAGTCTGTGCACAGTATCTCTGCAGACCTCTGCTAAAGCGTTGTAAATCTGACCTACGGCTTCCTTGCTGTTTAAATCTTTTCTTTCTACATAAGCAGATCTGCCACCCTGCCCAAGTGCAGAATCAAAATAAGGTCTGATGGGTAGTGGTTCACTATCTTCATAGAGCGCAGGGAAAGCAGAAAGGAAATATTCTGTGAAAAATAATGAGTTAAAACACACAATTCCTGGTTATCAGAATTTATTGACATGCAAATACTATCTTCTGATGAGAAATGAAGGAAAAAATCCTTATTATCTAAGTACTGTTAATATTTGAACAGCATGCATTGCTTTGCTTCATACTGCTCCCTGAAATCTGAACACGGTGGCATGAAATCCCCCTTTCCCAGGCTTGTTATGAGAGAGCAGTATCTGCACTGTAGGACTGACTGGCAGCAGCATCTTTATCACATATTGTAATCTCATTACATTCCTAACAAGGAAAAAACAACTTAACTAGTTGGCTTGTTTTGTGTTAGATAAATACATGGGATTTGCAGAATGGATATAAACTGCAACGATTATGTGGTTTTTGTTCCTAAAATCCCTCTAAGGAAGGTATTCTTTAATTTCTCACTGTGTACATCCTTCTTCCTGCTCCCCAGTAAACAGACTTAACTACATGGTGGTTGTACCCCAACAGGTTGACACTTCCTTTATCTTCCTAATATGTAGCAGTACAGTGGGCAGGATCTCCTTTTTTTTTTTTTTTTTTTTTTTCCCCCTCCTTACAAAAATTATTTCTATTTGAGCTTGCTCATATATAGCTTCTTTCTAAATAATAATTTCTTCAACATTTAGCAAAGGTGGATGTTGAGGCTTGTTGTCCTATTAAAGGAAAATGTGTTTATGTACCTTTGTTTAACAGACATGATGGAACTTCAGTCTGTTTCCAGGAAAATTATTCAGAAAGTTGCAAATAAGTGAAAGGCAGCTGAAATCCTGGAATTATCATGAGTAAATTTAACATTAACTTGCTTAGCTGCATGTTCTGTACTATCAGGAGTCAGTTTTTCTTAATGCTGACAAAGTTTATCGATATTGTTCTTTGTGAAGATTATGCGAAAATAAAAATGAAAAATCAGTGTGAAAGTCTGCTCAACCACTGAAACAGGATTATTGTTTTATTTTACCAGTCTTTAAAATGACCTTCAAAACCAAATTCCCTTAAAACTTCTGTATTTTTGGATATGCTTTTTAAAGCAAGTGGTCTTTACCATCACTACAACATTTGAACTGTGTGGATTCCTAAAGGCAAGTGCATTTCATCCAGAAATTCTACAAATAGTAAAAATGCTTGCTTACTTATAAGGCTTGTCCTCTATAGTATACAGAAGGATTTTTTCATTTATGACATTCTGTTCTGTTAACTCTCTGACCAGGGAAAAAGGGGTATACTAAACTGTTCTAAAACCATCAAGGGATATGAAATTATCATATCCTACTAGTGCATAATACAGTATATACTAATCCATAATTGAAACACATTAATGTGCCATGACTGCAGAAGGACAAGCGCTCTCAGGAATGAGTAAACCATCCATTCATACAGTGCAAACTTTAAATGCATCAGATGTAATGACAGAGCATCAAACCAGATCTCTTGTATTATGAATAACCAATTTAATCATACCTCTGGTTGCATTGTTTCAATCTTATCTAAAATATTTTTGCAAAAATTAACCAAGTGGATTTAATCCTGTTAGTAAAATGAAAAAAAAAAATGTGCTCAAATTCTTGAAATTGTGCTTTAATTTAAAAAGTGGTTCTTAGAAAGTAGTTCTGTTTATCCTGTGCACCATTTTCGTGTCAGCACTGTCAGTAATATCAGATTCACTTTATAACACCAGTATGTTTTTACTCCTGTTGCCAGTCTAACAGACCCTGAATGGATACACAAGAATGGTTTTAGAAATATTCTGCTTGGGCATCAAGAGAAAAGCTTTCAGCTTCACTTACTGTTTTTGATAATATTATATAGAATAAGCTGTTACGGAATGGTTTTTGTGCTTAAATTGTAATGCCAGAACTTAAGGAAATCTTGACGACTTGAAAATTTCATGAGTTAGCCAAACATCACAAATGTTGAATGTCAACACATTTCTAGCATTCGTTTTCCTCGGTGATTGTTTTCTCTTTTAGAATAATAGATGTGCACAGTATACATACTGGCTATTAGTGGTAGATAATAATTTTTATGTATCAGCAGTAATTGATATTACTGGAGTTATGATTGCTACTATGGGTTTCAATGACATTGTATACAGGATAATAGGAGTGGTTTTCTTATCTCAAGAACAAACTCAGGATTTGGTACAAAAACAGAAATTTTACCAGAGAGGTGTCTAATAAGGCATATAAACAGTCTTTGTTAGCTAGTTAAATACTTTAAATGATTGGTCTTTTAGAGGTGAAGTAAATGTGATAAAAAACTTAGGCTAATGCCGTGAAGACCTATGAATAAAACTGGAATAATTCTGTGAAGTGCAAACAGTCAAGGAGAAAAGGTTTAGGGTACACAGGTAAAGCTATAGCTTGTGCTGTAAAAACAAAATACTTTTTCATGAACTAAGCCCTAAAAGCTGTGCCCTTTCTGGCAAAAATGTGTGTGACTGCACGTGTGTTGCCCTTATGTTCAAACAGTTTTGGCAGACACTGATTCTAGAACTTACCTTTTTGTGCTTCACCCATTACAAAAAATCACCAAAGTGAGTGGGCAATACAAGTTTATAAAGAAAACACATTTCAACAGATAAATAGAAGGTCAAGGAGGGAGGGGTAAGCTTTGAATAATATTTTTTTTCTTTCAAGCTACAGGCTAAATAAAAGTTCCCTTGAACAGCCTTGATGGAACTCATGCAAAAGAATTATCCTCTTTCTCAGAGACAATAAACTCTGAGAACTAACTAACTTACAAAGGAAAGCTAAGTGTTATTTTTTCAACAGTAGTTATTTTCAAATCAAATAGAACTGTCTGTAGGCCAGAAACAGAATTGAAATCATTGATTCTATAAATTACTGAAATTGCAATGGATACAGTGTTCTTTGGTATGTTACATTACTTCTTTCATAGTGTTACATGGAGCTGATTGAAATAACCTCCACTTAGACAAACCAGACATAGCATGTTTGTATTATGATGAAACCGTTTCTGATTCTAGCCTTCATAGTTTACAAAGTACTTTGGGATGAGATTATATTACTGTAAGGCTAATATTCTTGATAAATTTAAGAATAAAATTCTCTAAAAATGTGCTGTATATGGCATTACCTTACTGTCTTCTGAAAGAAATAGCTTTGGTTACTACACACAGTTAAAAAAAAATAACCCTAGTTTGGTTGGATGCAATTGTCTCACTCTCTTCTGCTTTTTCTCAGATCCACTCTAGTCTTATCCCATAGGTCTGCTCTTGCCAAACAGTTTAACATGTAAAGATCTTAATGGGGGCATTGACTGTCTTTTGTGTCGATGCTGCAGCAAAAATGGAAAGAAGGGGACAGCTGAGAGCAAAATGGACAGATTTACAGACTTTTCAGTCGAGGACAATAAAGGCACTGCTTTGTTCTCTTACTGCGCTTCAGCATTACAAAGCACCACGTTTGTTGTTCTTCAGGGCTCTGAACTCAACAGCTGTGTGCAGTTATTCTGTAGCTGTACCTAGAGGCGTAGTCTAAGAAATTAAAATCCATTGCCCCAGTGGTTTTGGGCAGTAGGAGGAATCAAGGCTGTGCTTACCTGGGCTGGCTCTTGGCCAAAGCACTGAATGTAATAGAGCTGCTCTGG